CCCCAAAACCCCAAAACCCCAAAACCCCAAGAATTATTTTTATTATAGAAATAAATTGTTGCAATGTTAGGCAAACAAAGCGACTTAAAGAAAGCTGTTCGTGCAATGAGCATGCAGAAGATTGCCAAGAAGCCATATCGGAAGAAATCATACTATTTCCCTAATAAATCCATATCTGGGCTTAATACACGTAAGTTTTGAAATATCATCTGGGCTTGATAACTTTAACAGCCATGAAAACTGAAAATAATGAGTATACTGACCAACGAGAGACTGAGAAGGAGATTTCAAGGGCAGAGACCCACTCACAAGGTATTTCTAGTTCCAAATACCTATAGATAGCACAGAGAAGGAGAATAGGGACTATACCTCAGAATATCTTAATTTTCTAGATAAAAACCAAGTACTGAGTGCTCTTTTCACATATTTTAGGCTAAGGAAAATTCTAGGCTATTTCAGAAAGTCTTGAACATCCATAAGGATATTGAGACGTGTATGTCAGAGCTTAAGCAGGATAGTATTTCAAATACATTTCTTAATGACAAGCCCACCACTGCGAAAGCAAAGAAGAAGACCTCAACTCCATCTGTAAGGTCTCCTAGAAGGTCAGTCTCTGTTTCAACAGGCAGGAGTCATCGGTCTTATGTTGCTTTCCAGGCAAAGCCTTTGAACATGAAGTTCATTGAGAATCTTGGGATGGAAATTCCGCTCAAGAAGTACATAAATTCTCAAAATCGGAAACAGAGAAAGAAGAAGGAAGCGGAGTACAGCTACGCACCTCAGAAAATCAACCTGCTCAGGATCCTTCCGAAGAAAGAATGGATTGAGAAAAATGACCAAGAACGAGAGAAAGATAATCAAGAATAAGATCGATTTCCATAAATTATGAGCAAACAAGATCAAGATGCTTCATAAAGAAGCAGCCCGGATGTTCCCATACTCTAGCCATGGTGAGAAAATTGCCAAGACTGACATCCAGGACTTGGTTAACCGCCTGGATGTAGTCAAGGACCTCACCTTTTTGAAAGGCAAGAATTGCAGAGAAGTTATGGAGAAAGCTCTAAATGAGCAAGAGAAAAAGAACATTACAAATTCTATCATGAGAAAGGTCAAGTTCGAGCAGCTTAAGGTATACCACTCCTTCTTTGTATATGCTCTTCCAAACAAAGAGTCAGGAATCTTCTTCAGCTTTATCTAAAATCCTTCTGTAACTTACATCTAGAAAATGAGAATGAGTGAATTTAAAAGACAAGTCAAGATAGCTCAAAAGAATGAACGGATCAGAAAAGGGACTCCCAAATGGACAAGGTCTGATACCATCAAGCAGATCAAGTAATTCAGAGAGTTTATCATCTTAGGCAGCACAAATAAGTCATTTATTGAGTACATCGGGGATATCTGCACTAAAAAGGAAGAAACTGTAGCTCGAAATACAGATATTAATGTTCCAAAACAAAGATATTTCCTTAATAAAAGAGAAAGGGACAAGGTAAGATCCTAGGTTTAACAAATAGATCTCACAAGATACTAAAAATAAAGTTCCAGCTTCAAAAATGGCTCGGAGCTATACCCAAGGAATCAAAATTAGGTACGCTTGGAGCCTTAGTCATGTAGCCTGGCCAAGATTGGGATTGAAGAGGATGCACCATACCAAGAGAGTCATGATATTTTGAAGGCAAAGGCAGCATCTAGGTTGAATTCCCTCAGGCGGAATAAACAGCACTACCCGAAGATTGACACTGTCAAGATCATTTCAGGGGTGATTTAGATGACTCAATTTTACGATATTTTCTAGGGGTTTTGGGGTTTTGGGGTTTTGGGGTTTTGGGG